AGAACGCTGTAGATACCTCACAGCTCTCTGGTCTAGGCCCATCCGCCCAGAGTGTGTCCACCTGTATTCACACCTTCCCGACCGCTGTACCTGCAAAATATTCCCTCGGAGCCCCCTGGCTCGATCCCATTATTACATAACCCCCTCGGCTCCTTACTCTCTCCCCGTATATAGCCTGAGCGCAGCTGCAAAACCATTGCAGCTGGCCCTTATCCCTGCTTTGATGTCAGGGGGCGAATTTCGCCTATAACGTCACGTTGGCTTCACTTCCTCCCCCTTTTTTTTTCTCTAAAATTACTGAGTGTAGCCTCATAGCTTCCCTTCTACTCTACCTGAAGCTCTGTGACATGATCCCGGGGGACCTTCTCAAGCCTAACACTCAGTAATGGTGCCGATGAGGTAATATACAGTATATACATGCACATACATTATCACAATAAATACCTCATTAAAATAATTTCACACTTATGTCACTAAAACATCATACTGCCACTGGCTCGCCTCTAGCGAGATTCCTGTAACAACTTAATAAGAAATTAGTATATCTACTTCGCTCGTCCACTGCAACCACCAACACCTGAAATTTTGAAATTCTACATTATAATCTTATCCATAAGACTTACCCACTCCGACACACCATCACCTTTGGTCAACCCAACCACTGATGACCTCATTATAACACCACACTCCATACCAGGCGTCCAAACGCCACAACACTACACCACCCACTACACATGCTACTCTACACCACTCTCTACACACTACCCCACACTCTACAAAAACTACCATGCCCATGCACCACTACACACCACACTCTACACACTACCCCACACTCTACAAAAACTACCATGCCCATGCACCACTACACACCACACTCTACACACTACCCCACACTCTACAAAAACTACCATGCCCATGCACCACTTCACACCACACTCTACACACTACCCCACACTCTACAAAAACTACCATGGCCATGCACTACTCTACAGTACATACTATGCTCCTTCTGTGTTCATGACCCCACGAGAGCGGGTCGGATAGCGATGTGTCACCGTCGCCTGTGGACCTTGTCCTCGGTCCTGCGAAGGCTGCTCTGTGTTATCTACCCTTGATTGCCAACTCCTCGTACCCCTACCTATGTTCTCAGCCGCTGGTGTGCTCTCCCCTGGCACACTCCCCGTAGGGTATGGCTCCTCACTTGCCTGACCGGTCAGTGTATAGACGCGGTCTGGGTGACAGGAGAACACATGCCCTGTGTTTAGCACCTTAACCTTCACTTCTGCATTCTTTTTGCTAATTACCCGACATGGCCCCACAAACTTGGGTGCCAACTTACCTTCTGCCTGAGCGTGCATCTGCTTCACGAATACCCTATCACCTTCATTGATCACCTTTGCTTGGACCTTGTTCCGCGCATTATAATATGCCTCTGCTACCTCTGTCGACTTTCTTAAATGTAGTTTCACCAAGTCAAATGCCTTGGTTGCTCGCCTACAGACAACACTTTTGAAGTCTAACGCATAGCATGGCGGTTGCTTGCTTGTGAACGTCGTGAACGGAAGTCGGGGATCGAACCCATGCAACAAAAAATGCGGGGTTTCTCCCACCGACCTATTGAACGCCGTGTTGAGCGCCGACTCCACCATCGACAAACTCTGATCCCATGCAAGCACATCATCAGCAGCCAAATGCCGCAGAATACTGATTACTTCAGCATTGTGTCTTTCAACCAAACCATTCGCCGATGGTCGATATGCCAGCACTGGAGTATGTTTGAATTGATACACACTCGCGATGCTTTGAAATACTTGATTGATAAACTCTGACCCTTGGTCTGACACAACTTGTTGAGGAGCCCCAAACCTGGTTAACACACTTTCCACCATGGCCTGGGTCACATCCTCTGCCGACTTAGAACGGAGTGCACTCACCACAGTGAACCGTGTGAGTGCATCCACTGCTACAAATATGTACCTCGCCCCTGAATGAGCTTGTGGTAGCGGCCCAATGAGATCTATGTGTACTCTCTCGAAGGGAGTACTCACCTCCGGCCACCTACGCAAAGGTTCCGCCCCCAACCTATGTGCCTTGTACCTCAGACAACTGTCACAAGAGGCTACATAGACCTTGATATCTTTACCCATGGATGGCCAATAGAACCTTTGACGTGCCCTCTGCAACGTCTTGGACTCCCCTCCATGGCCTGCTGCTGGGATGTTATGACACAGATACATTGCAGTCCTCTGGAACTCCGGTGTCAAGACTGCCTGGTATACTGGTTCAGACCGTATACCCGAAACCCTACCAAGATGATACAACACCTCATCTTCAACCACAAACTCATCCACTGGGGCTGGAAGTGACTTCCTCAACTCCGCACGCTGACCCCTCAAAAACTTCCTTACCTCCCCCCACAGGGGGTGACCTTCCTGACTCCGTATCAACTCCCTCACATTCCACGACACATCTTCCTCCCCCCTTTCACTCACCACTGCTACATTGTGACACCTTGACAACGCGTCAGCGACCACATTGCTTTTCCCTGGTACATGTTCAAAGTTTGTAATGTTAAACTCTGAGAGCGAGGTAACCCACCGTGCCAGCCGCTGACAAGGCTCCTTGGACTCGAACACATACTTAAGGGGTTTGTGATCGCTTCTGAGCCAAATTTCATGTCCAAGCAAGATGTACCGGTTTCGTTGTAATATGAATGTGATCGCTAGCGCTTCCCTCTCAATCGTACTATAGTTCCTCTCTGCAGGACATAGTACTCGTGAACAAAATGCAATGGGACGCTCCCGTCCTCGCTCATCCACCTGAGCTACCACACCACCTATCGCTGCGCCAGAAGCATCCGCATACACCAGAAATGGTTTGCTAAAATCTGGGTGCGCCAAGATACTGCGAGAGCTGACAGCAGCCCTCAGTACCTGGAACGCCTGCTGTTGTTCCTTCCCCCACACGAACTCTGCAAGTCCACTGATCTGATGTAATGGTCTTGCAAGTTTTGAAAAATCTTTAATAAATCGCCGATAATAGCTAACCAACCCCAGGAAAGATTTGCACTCTTTCTTGTTCTGTGGAACTGGGAACTCTTGAATATCCCTGGTTTTATCTGGCAATGGACTGATACCCATCCGGCCCACTGTATGACCCAGGAATGTTACCGATTCTCCAAAAAAACTGCATTTTTCGAAATTCACTTTGAGGTTGTGTGACCTCAACCTTAGCAAGAGTTTCCTCAAATTATGCATGTGCTCCTCTAATGACTTTCCCAGCACGATTACGTCATCGAGGTACAGCAACGCTGTGGGACCTATCAACCCTGATAATACACTCATCATTAGCCTACTGAACACAGCAGGTGCTGACTTCAACCCGAAAGGAAGTCGTTTATATTGCCAGAGCTCGTTGCACGCACTAAACGCTGTGATTTCCCTCGACTCTTCCTCCAGTGGTATCTGGTGATACCCACTGAGCAGGTCTAATGTGGTAAAATATTGTGTACCCTTCAAGTGTGTCAATGTGTCCTGTATGTTAGGTAATGGGTATGCTTCGTCTTTCGTCAGCTTGTTTATTCTGCGGAAATCTACGCATAACCTCACTCCCCCATTCTTTTTCCTGACTACTACGAGAGGGCTGTGCCACGGTGAACTGGATGGTTCAATGATATCATGCTCCCTTAGCTGGCTTATCTCCTCTTTCACCTCCCTCTGGTGTGCCACTGGTATGCTATATGCTCTCGTATATACTGGATGTGCGCCCTCTACGTCAATTCTATGTGCTCCTTGAGTAATGCACCCTGGGGGTTCCCCTCTCAACGCAAAAACATCCGGGAACTCCCTGACTAGGCCCCTTAAGGCTTCCTTAACCTCCCTTTCCATGGACATCCTATCCACTATTCCCATTAATTTATCCATTCTATCCTCATCGCCCTCACTCTGACTTACTGACATGGCTGCAATAATCTCCTCCACAGGGTGCCCCCACGCTACCTGTGTATGCCTACTCAAGGTGACTGGCCACCGAGAGGGATTAAAAACCCTCAAACGAATTACCCCTTCATTTATGTCTTCAATAGTCTCCATTATCACCAACCCTGCTGGATTATCCAATGGCTCAATTTGCACAACGTCTACTCCCTTGGCTTTACATGCCATTTTAATCACTAAGGACGCTTCTCCCGGAATGGTGACCACCGCTGCCCACCAAATATGTCGTGACGCTGAACCCCGGTTCATTCCGAACACAGCGATTACACAACACATAACACCTTGCCTCAGCAACCGTTACTACCACCGTGTACTCCTACACACACCAGACCCTTGAGGCGTACCACTAGGTTTGTACTGGAACACAATGAATGAACATACGGAAGGTATTTAAAGGCCGTCGGATTTTGTCATTTAATTACAAAGAATAGACTCTGACAAATAATACTATATTAATTAACATACTCTATTAGGTCAATACACTTCCAATACCCATAGACCACTTGACCTCCGCGATCTCCCACACTAGTAACTTCCGCCTAAGTCCCTAATACGGAATGATTACTACAACGCTCCACACCCGGTTAGTCTTACATTCAATACTCACATACTGCAGACTTAACTTGGTCACTAAGATCACAACAGGCTCTCGCATAGCTGTCTGCTACACTTCGCTGCTGCCACAAACGGGGATCCAAAAGGACTTGCTCGTTCAACTTCCACAATCAGACTGACTCCAGTCAGCCATCTACCTCAACCATTTCACCCCACCTCTCAAGGAAGGTATAATCCGATTAACCTTATCCCTAGAGAGGTAATCTTGTTCCTAGAAGCCTGACGAAGAATAATTCCTCTTTCCAGGAATTAATCATTTGGCTAAACAGCTTCGGTCTTAATCCATTGACCTTTCTTAGATATGTGATCCATAGTCTGTCTACTTACATGTACTTTCAATCATCATTCGTTAAGTGTTGTAGTAATGATCCTCTAGCTAATAATTCCTACTAACTTGTGGATTACAACACTCGTGTGCTTGACGTCCTCGTGTGCTTGACGTCCTCGGGTGCTTGTCGTCCTCGTGTGCTTGTCGTCCTCGTGTGCTTGTCGTCCTCGTGTGCTTGTCGTCCTCGTGTGCTTGTCGTCATCGTGTGCTTGACGTCCACGTGTGCTTGTCGTCCTCGTGTGCTTGTCGTCCTCGTGTGCTTGTCTTCCTCGTGTGCTTGTCGTCCTCGTGTGCTTGTCGTCCTCGTGTGCTTGTCGTCCTCGTGTGCTTGTCGTCCTCGTGTGCTTGACGTCCACGTGTGCTTGTCGTCCTCGTGTGCTTGTCGTCCTCGTGTGCTTGTCGTCCTCGTGTGCTTGTCCTCGCGTGCTTGTCGTCCTCGTGTGCTTGTCGTCCACGTGTGCTTGTCGTCCTCGTGTGCTTGTCGTCCTCGTGTGCTTGTCGTCCTCGTGTGCTTGTCGTCCTCGTGTGCTTGTCGTCCTCGTGTGCTTGTCGTCCTCGTGTGCTTGTCGTCCTCGTGTGCTTGTCGTCATCGTGTGCTTGACGTCCTCGTGTGCTTGACGTCCTCGGGTGCTTGTCGTCCACGTGTGCTTGTCGTCCTCGTGTGCTTGTCGTCCTCGTGTGCTTGTCGTCCTCGTGTCCTTGTCGTCCTCGTGTGCTTGACGTCCTCGTGTGCTTGACGTGCTCGGGTGCTTGACGTCCCCGTGTGCTTGACGTCCTCGGGTGCTTGACGTCCTCGTGTGCTTGACGTCCTCGGGTGCTTGACGTCCCCGTGTGCTTGACGTCCTCGTGTGCTTGACGTCCTCGGGTGCTTGACGTTCCCGGGTGCTTGACGTCCTCGGGTGCTTGACATCCTCGGGTGCTTGACGTCCCCGGGTGCTTGACGTCATCGTGTGCTTGACGTCTTCGGGTGCTTGACGTCCTCGTGTGCTTGACGTCCTCGGGTGCTTGACGTCTTCGTGTGCTTGACGTCCTCGGGTGATTGACGTCCTCGGGTGCTTGACGTCCTCGGGTGCTTGACGTCCTCGTGTGCTTGACGTCCTCGTGTGCTTGACGTCCTCGTGTGCTTGACGTCCTCGGGTGCTTGACGTCCTCGTGTGCTTGACGTCCTCGGGTGCTTGACGTCCTCGGGTGCTTGACGTCCTCGGGTGCTTGACGTCCTCGGGTGCTTGACGTCCACGTGTGCTTGACGTCCTCGGGTGCTTGACGTCCTCGGGTGCTTGACGTCCTCGTGTGCTTGACGTCCTCGTGTGCTTGACGTCCTCGGGTGCTTGACGTCCTCGTGTGCTTGACGTCCTCGGGTGCTTGACGTCCTAGGGTGCTTGACGTCCTCGGGTGCTTGACGTCCTCGGGTGCTTGACGTCCTCGTGTGCTTGACGTCCACGTGTGCTTGTCGTCCTCGTGTGCTTGTCGTCCTCGTGTGCTTGTCGTCCTCGTGTGCTTGTCGTCCTCGTGTGCTTGTCGTCCTCGTGTGCTTGTCCTCGCGTGCTTGTCGTCCTCGTGTGCTTGTCGTCCACGTGTGCTTGTCGTCCTCGTGTGCTTGTCGTCCTCGTGTGCTTGTCGTCCTCGTGTGCTTGTCGTTCTCGTGTGCTTGTCGTCATCGTGTGCTTGACGTCCTCGTGTGCTTGACGTCCTCGGGTGCTTGTCGTCCTCGTGTGCTTGTCGTCCTCGTGTGCTTGTCGTCCTCGTGTGCTTGTCGTCCACGTGTGCTTGTCGTCCTCGTGTGCTTGTCGTCCACGTGTGCTTGTCGTCCTCGTGTGCTTGTCGTCCTCGTGTCCTTGTCGTCCTCGTGTGCTTGACGTCCTCGTGTGCTTGACGTGCTCGGGTGCTTGACGTCCCCGTGTGCTTGACGTCCTAGGGTGCTTGACGTCCTCGTGTGCTTGACGTCCTCGGGTGCTTGACGTCCCCGTGTGCTTGACGTCCTCGTGTGCTTGACGTCCTCGGGTGCTTGACGTTCCCGGGTGCTTGACGTCCTCGGGTGCTTGACATCCTCGGGTGCTTGACGTCCCCGGGTGCTTGACGTCATCGTGTGCTTGACGTCTTCGGGTGCTTGACGTCCTCGTGTGCTTGACGTCCTCGGGTGCTTGACGTCCTCGTGTGCTTGACGTCCTCGGGAGCTTGACGTCCTCGGGTGCTTGACGTCCTCGGGTGCTTGACGTCCTCGTGTGCTTGACGTCCTCGTGTGCTTGACGTCCTCGTGTGCTTGACGTCCTCGGGTGCTTGACGTCCTCGTGTGCTTGACGTCCTCGGGTGCTTGGACGTCCTCGGGTGCTTGACGTCCTCGGGTGATTGACGTCCTCGGGTGCTTGACGTCCTCGGGTGCTTGACGTCCTCGAGTGCTTGACGTCCTCGGGTGCTTGACGTCCTCGGGTGCTTGACGTCCTCGGGTGCTTGACGTCCTCGGGTGCTTGACGTCCTCGGGTGCTTGACGTCCTCGGGTGCTTGACGTCCTCGGGTGCTTGACGTTCTCGGGTGCTTGACGTTCCCGGGTACTTGACGTCCTCGTGTGCTTGACGTCCTCGTGTGCTTGACGTCCTCGTGTGCTTGACGTCCTCGTGTGCTTGACGTCCTCGGGTGCTTGACGTCCTCGGGTGCTTGTCGTCCTCGGGTGCTTGACGTCCTCGGGTGCTTGACGTCCTCGTGTGCTTGACGTCCTCGTGTGCTTGACGTCCTCGGGTGCTTGGACGTCCTCGGGTGCTTGACGTCCTCGGGTGCTTGACGTCCTCGGGTGCTTGTCGTCCTCGGGTGCTTGACGTCCTCGTGTGCTTGACGTCCTCGTGTGCTTGACGTCCTCGAGTGCTTGACGTCCTCGGGTGCTTGTCGTCCTCGGGTGCTTGTCGTCCTCGGGTGCTTGACGTCCTCGTGTGCTTGACGTCCTCGGGTGCTTGACGCCGTGCTGTAGTTACTGTTATATAATATTTTATGATAGTTATGCGTGGTAGATATATTTTAAATAGCATGAAAATTTCAACAGTTAATTAAGTAAGTTTTCAAAGACCGCATTAACAAGCCAGAAAAACACCATTAACAAGCCAGAAAAAAAGACCATTAACTAGCCAGAAAAAAGACCATTAACAAGCCAGAAAAAACACCATTAACTAGCCAGAAAAAAGACCATTAACTAGCCAGAAAAAAGACCATTAACTAGCCAGAAAAAAAACCATTAACTAGCCAGAAAAAAGACCATTAACTAGCCAGAAAAAAGACCATTAACTAGCCACAAAAAAACATTAACTAGCCAGAAAAAAAACCATTAACTAGCCAGAAAAAAGACCATTAACTAGCCAGAAAAAAGACCATTAACTAGCCAGAAAAAAAACCATTAACTAGCCAGAAAAAAGACCATTAACTAGCCAGAAAAAAAAACCATTAACTAGCCAGAAAAAAGACCATTAACTAGCCAGAAATGTTTTGTTGGTCTTGCCTCTGTAGGTCTGTAGTGAGGAAGTTCATCAATGGCTTCTGCAGGTGACAAATTGAAAGGAAAACATATTGTAATGTGTCTTCTTGAGTTGTGTTTATGTGGGGTGATTGTAGTTTACTGAAAAGCAGTGAGTGATTGTGTCGTGTGATGGTGATTAATGGTGTAGTCGTGCATGTCTTTAGTGGCTGTGTTTACGTGGGTGGTTACATTATATGCTGATGGTGATATGATGATGGCTCAGTTATGGTGATTAAACTTAGTCGACGGTCGTATCATTGAACCAGTTCTCGAAGTTGATACGATTTAATTGATGTGAATTGATAAGTGAATTGAATCGTGTCCACTTATTGAATCGTATCAACTTATCACTGTAAGTTGCATAAGTGTAATTATTTGCATATATTCGAAAAAAATCACACAAATATTATTTTAGAAATTAAAATTTGCATATATTCAATACAATCATTTTAATTTCGACCTACAATCTAGTTAATGTAGATGAAATGATCAGTTGGGTAATAATACATTCTCTCAGTCACAAACACAGCGTGTGACGTTGATAATTGCATTAATTATGATTATTGTATTGAAACTAACTACAATATTGCATTAATCTACGCGATGATGTTCTGTTCAAGGGAGGTAATTCTGTTTTATTAGTCCAAAAGATTTTGTTGCACTCAACTACAATATTGCGCCATAAATTTGAGGATAATTTAACTCTGTGTTTGTTGGATTATAAGGTTTTAACATAGTGGCTTTTGTGGCATTAATGAGGAGGGTTGAGCAGTGCTTATGTACTCTTGTTAATGGGTTTAGCTAGGGGATTTATGGTCTTTTATGTGTTTGTGGAAACAGCTTTTGAGTTGGGATTTGGATAGCAGTTATGTGTATTTGTCTGTGTAAAAAAAAAAACAGTTATATGTCCATGAAAACAACAGTTTTGTGTCTTTGTAAAAAGTAGTTATATGTCCATTTTAGCAATAGTTAAAAAAACAGTTATATGTCCATGTTAACAATAGTTATATGTCATCTATAATGTCAATGTATCAAATAAATACCTGTCTATGTAATTAACAATTATGTGGTCATGTAAATAAAGATTATGTCTATATGTAAATAACAACATATGGAGCTTTTCAGACATGTGTTTTAAAGGCTTTCAATCATTTATGGGTTGAGATTGGGAGAACACATGCAACAGCCTGACAGGTGTTCGTGTAATATTTATGTGGACGGGAAAACCCATGCAGGCCGAGGTATGGTCCTGAGGAGCAAGTGTCAATAAAACACCTGCTCCTCGAGGATCAACAGTTTGCTTGTACGAAAATTCAGTGTTTGGATTATTGCGAAGGAAATTTATTGCATGTATTTTACTTGCATTTGTTTAGTGTGTGTGTGTGTGTGTGTGTGTGTGTGTGTGTGTGTGTGTGTGTGTGTGTGTGTTTGTGTGTGTGTGTGTGTGTGTGTGTTTGTGTGTAATCACCTATTTGTGCCTGCTGGACCGAGCGTTAGCTCTTTGATCCCGCCTTTCTAGCCTTCGGTTGTTTAAAGCAATGACGCCTAACCTACTTCTCTATCATACCTATCTTGAGGTTATCTTGAGATGATTTCGGGTTTTAGTGTCCCCGCGGCCCGGTCCTCGACCAGGCCTCCACCCCCAGGAAGCAGCCCGTGACAGCTGACTAACACCCAGGTACCTATTTTACTGCTAGGTAACAGGGGCATAGGGTGAAAGAAACTCTGCCCATTGTTTCTCGCCGGCGCCCGGGATCCAACCCGGGACCACAGGATCACAAGTACAGCGTGCTGTCCACTCGGCCGACCGGCTCCTAGTTTTAAAGCTATGAATAGTGTTTGCTTCCTCAACCTGCTCCTTTAGTTCATTCCTCTTCTCAACTCTCACGCTAAAATTAAACTTTCTAACATCTATATGACTTATCTGAGTTTCCAGCTTCCACCCATGTCCCCTTGTTCTGTTGGTACTCCGTGTGAACATTTCGTCTATTTCCACTCTATCAATCCCCCTAAGTATTTTGTATGCTGCTATCATATCTCCACGCTCCCTCCTTTTTTTCGAACGTTGTTAGGTTCAGTTTCTTCTGTCGATCTTCATATCCCATCCCATGCAACTGCGGGACTAGCCTCGTCCCAAATTTTTGAGCCACTCTGATGTCTTCCCCTTCACAGTTACTCGCTGTTTCCTGTTGCATAGATCACTCCTTTCTCCACTGGAGCACCTTACCCTTTACTCCTGCCTGTTGCTCCAGCTTTTGTAACAACATTTTATGGGGTACTGTGTCAAAGGCTTTTTGAGAGGCCAAGAAAAGGCAGCCTGCCCATCCTTCTCTTTCTGTGTGTGTGTGTGTGTGTGTGTGTGTGTGTGTGTGTGTGTGTGTGTGTGTGTGTGTGTGTGTGGGTGTGTGTGTGTGTAATCACCTAGTTGTGCTAGCGGAGGTTGAGCTCTAGCTCTTTGGTCCCGCCTCTCAACAATCAATCAACTGGTGTACAGGTTCCTGAGCCTACTGGGCTCTGTCATTTCTACATTTAAAACAGTGTATGGAGTCAGCCTCCACCACATCACTACCTAATGTCTCCACTTGTTAACTACTCTGACACTGAAAAAGGTTTTTCTAACGTGTCATTTGAGTACTCAGTTTCCACCTGTGTCCCCTTGTTCGCGTACCACCCGTGTTAGTCAGTTTATCCTTGTCTACTCTGTCAATTCCTCTGAGAATTTTGTAGGTAGTGATCATGTCTTTCCTTACTCTTCTGTCTTCCAGTGTCGTGAGGTGCATTTCCTGCAGCCTGTCCTCGTAACTCATGCCTCTTAGTTCTGGGACTAGCCTAGTGGCATACCTCTAAACTTTTTCTAGCTTCGTCTTGTGCTTGACAAGGTACGGGCTCCATGTGTGTGTGAGTGTGTGTACTTACCTAATTGTGCTTGCAGGGGTTGAGCTCTGGCTCTTTGGTCCCGCCTCTCAACTGTCAGGTTGACAGTTGAGAACTTTACACACACACTGTGTATTCACCTAGTTGTATGCACCTAGTTGTGCTTGCGGGGGTTAAGCTCTGCTCTTTCGGCCCGCCTCTCAACTGTCAATCAACTGTTACTAACTACTTTTTTTTTTCCACACCACACACACACAAACACACACACACGCACACACACACACACAGGAAGCAGCCCGTGACAGCTGACTAACTCCCAGGTACCTATTTACTGCTAGGTAACAGGTGCATTATGGTGAAAGAAACTCTGCCCATTGTTTCTCGCCGGCGCCCGGAATCGAACCCGGGTTCACGCGTCCAGTGTGCTGTCTGCTCAGCCACCGGCTGAGTGTAAGTGAGTGAGAACTTCTGAGTGTGTGTATGTGTGTGTGTGTGTGTGTGTGTGTGTGTGTGTGTGTGTGTGTGTGTGTGTGTTTACTAGTTGTTTACTAGTTGTGTTTTGCGGGGGTTGAGCTTTGCTCTTTCGGCCCGCCTCTCAACTGTCAATCAACTGTTTACTAACTACTTTTTTTTTTTTTCACACCACACACACACACACAGGAAGCAGCCCGTGACAGCTGACTAACTCCCAGGTACCTATTTACTGCTAGGTAACAGGGGCACTTAGGGTGAAAGAAACTTTGCCCATTTGTTTCTGCCTCGTGCGGGAATCGAACCCGCGCCACAGAATTACGAGTCCTGCGCGCTATCCACCAGGCTACGAGGCCCCCTATGTGTGTGTGTGTGTGTGTGTGTGTGTGTATGTGTGTATGTGTGTGTGTGCGTGTGCGTATTTTTGGTGAGTTGTATTGGTATCATTAGGATGTAAACAAATACTCACCAAGAGGTTAGCCTTGTGCTCATTAGGTGTAAATTACATTTAGTTTGGGGGTTTGTGTTTCATTACTTTAGAAGCGTGTGCGGCGTTTATTTAAGCGGTTCGGGTTGCATTAATTTGGCCGTCTGAATTACATTGTATTACTGGGAATGTGTTGCAACTTCTCCAGGATTTATATTGCATTTAGTTGAGTCTTCTTAAGCATTCATGCAAGTGGTTGCATTAAAGTAATTTTGGGGCTGAAGCTCAACCACGTCTCGGCTGTTTTTTTTTTTTTAAGACTTTTTAGACTTTGCAATTTGTCTTAGTGTCTTTTATGTATGTCTCTTATCTAGATAATAGCTACGCTGTTTTGTATTCAACATATAATATCGTACTCCGGAAAAAGCTCTTGCCAAGTGCATTCAATTTGGACTCTACAAAAAGGGAATTAAAGTATTGTTTACCCCTCCCCTTTTTTCCTGGTTTCGTGACAACTGAAATGACGGAAATTACAACGGGAGTGGGTTCTGCCCTTGTAATGTTGCTGTAATTACGGTGGGTGGGGGAGGGTGGGAGGGGGGAGTCCTAGGGGTGGGCCTGGGGGTTGGGACTCTGGGTGGGAGACAGGAGCAGCGGCAGTAATAGGGAACACATGTTGTCTCTGGGAGCA